ATTTGATGTACTGAATACATATAAGACTATTGTTGAATTTATTGGTATAATATTGTTCATAACATTCCCTTTTTTATTGTTTTAAAGTCTGTAGAATCTATAGCAACACCTCCACGTTAATTTTTACTATCAGTAATTTGTGTCTCCTCTTCCTCACTTTCTCCTGGCTAGAGTCTGGGTAGATCCATCTAACTAGAGGCTTATCAATTTTATTCATCTTTTTGAAGAACCAGCTTTTAGCTTCATTTCCTTTTCTTTATTGCTTTTCAGTTTTCTATTTTACTGATTTCCATTCTTTGTTTCATTTTGGGCTTAATCCAATCTTCTCTTTCCGATATTTTAGAATAAAGCTTAGTCGTTAATGAGAAACCTTTCTTCTACTGAAGGCATTTAATGCTATAAATTTCCTTCCAAGTACTGCTTTAGCTGGACCCCACATTTTGATATGTTTTCATTTTGATTCCATTTAAAATTTATGATTTACTTTTGACCCATGAGTTATTTAGAAGCATACTGTTTAATTTCTAAATATTTAAGGATTTTTCAGATATCTATTATTGCTTTCTAGTTTAATTATGTTGTGGTCAGAGTACATACTTTGTACAATTGCGATCCCCTAAAACGTAATGAGTTCTTCTATGGCCCAGAATATGGTCTATCTTGGTGAATATGACAAATGCATTTGAAAATTATGTATTCTGCTGGTTGGGTGTTCTAAAAATGTCAGGTCAATTCAGTTGATAGTATTGTTCAAGTCTTCTCCTTTCACTGATTTGCTGTTTACTTATGCTATGAATTACTTAGGGAGGAGTGTTGAAATCTCCACTTATAAACTGTGAATTTGTCTGTTTCTCCCTTCTGTCATGAAACAATCTGTTTCATGTATTTTGAGTCTTTCTTTTTTTGGTGCATACAAATTTAGGATTGTTAGGTTCTCTTGATGAATTACTCTTTGACATTTTGAAAAGTTCCTCTTTACCCCTGCTAATATTCATTGTTTTGAAGTCTGCTTTATCTGATTCTAATATAGCTTTCTTTTGATTAGTGTTAACATGATACATTTTTTGCCATTTTTACTTTTAACCTGTTTGTATCCTTATATTTAAAGAGAGTTTCTTATAGACAATATATAGCTAGATCTTGCTTTTTTATCCTATCTGACAACCTTTGCCTTTTTTAAAATTAAAATTTTTGGGGTGACATTGGTTAATAAAAATCAAGGTTTCCAGTGTACAATTCAATGTCATCTGTAATCTCTGCCTTTTAATTCAAATGTTTAGAACATTTACATTTAATGTTTAATATGGTCAACATATGCGGGGTTAAATCTACCTTCTTACTGTTTTCTATTTGTTTTTTGTTTGTTTTTACGCTACAGTACCTGGTCTTCCTAAGTGGTCTCCCATCCAAGTACTAACCAGGCCCGACCCTGCTTAGCTTCCAAGATCAGACGGGATCGGGTGTGTTCAGGGTAACATGGCCGTAGACTATCTGTTCTTTTGTCCCCTTTTCCCTCTTTTCTTCTTTTGAATTGTTTTTAATTATTCCATTTTTTTCTCTATTATGGCTTATTAGCTATACTTCTTTTACTTGTTAAATAAAAGGGCCTTCTCTATGGTTTATAATATACACTCTTAATTATCATAGTCTATCTTCAAATAATATACCACTGCATATATAGTGTGAAAACCTCACAATAGTATACTCCCCTTCCACACTTGGTGCTGTTGTTTATGGATAGCTTTGGCTGATTCAAGTGTGTGGAATCATGTCCATAACCAATATTCCCATAATACAGCAACCAGCACACAGGGCTCAACATATAGAGCCAAGAGAGAAATGGAATAGTATGGCCCATGTTAATAATATCATTATTTAGGGAGAGACTGACTACATAGTCACCAATTGATCAGAATAGTCACCATCCAACCTTAGTCCTGGAGTAGTGCATTCCAAGGCTCCGAGCTACACTGAGCACTGACCTTTTATTTGCTGGCTCATGGTGGTGTCTAGGAGAGGGTCAGAAATTTCCAAGGCAAAAACGGAGACAGGAGGTAAGCTAAGGACAGCAGTTATTTATTAAGCAGTTTAGAAATATTTCAGTATTTTAATACTGGTTGACACAAAGTGTGCATATACCCTAGAGGTATATGTAATGTGAAACGCTCTTTATACACATATTTCTTTATGGAATCTTCAATAATATATGGCATGTTGGCTAATGCTACAGTGTGAGAGAATTCTCTAAGGGCACAAGTATCTTGGTTGATCCATCAGCAAAGCCAAACACAGGAAACAGCAGAAAGAGTTTACACATGTGTTACAAATCTTAATTGCAAGTATTTAGTACTTGCCGTCTATCAGACACTATGTGAGGCAATTCGCAGTTACTGTCTCTAAACTTCACCACAACCTTTTAAGGGTGCACTGTTATTCTCAACATACAGATGAGGTATAGGAGGCACGGAGAGATTAAGAATTTGCCCAGGATCACACAATGAAGAGGCACACCCGTACTCTATCTATGACTCATTCCATTGTCCCCTTTTATCACAGCTATTCCTTCTAGTATGTGAAGAATTTATTATATAAAAGTGTTTCACTTGTATTAGTGTCTATGATACCAAATAAAGCCCAGGTTCATGCCTCATCTCTCTATATTCCTGAAAGTTCCATTAATTACCTTTCTCAGTCTAAAGAGGAATCTTAGAGCTGGAGGAACATGGGTTACTAAAGTCCCATGATTCTGGGAAATTAGCCTCATAGATATAGTAGTCAAACCACCCAACCCCAAATCCCTTAATCAGTGCCACAAGGTGTGTGATCTTCACAAGGCAGGACTCCCAGAGCCTGCAGCCTTTCTCAATTTAGTATTGTCCAGATAGTATATGTAGCAACTCCTTGAAAAACAGAAAGTGGCTCTTGCCTTGTATTAGTAAACTAAAAGATTAAAAATAAGATGAGTTTATATTCTATTTTAAGGCAGCATCTTTTTTCTTAGGTAGCCTTATTTTTTGAACGGGAAAGTGACTCTGCTTGCTCAGTAAAGATGAATCCAGCTTACAGTTAGCTCCTTAAGTCTGACAAATCATATTTTTTCCTTTCCTGAAAGGGAACACTAGAAATTACTGGTCCCAATCCAACTATCCAAAAGCTGTGAGGACTTTACATAACACCAAACTCCCAAATCTGTGACCAGAATAGGAAGTACAATCACTAATGTAATAAAACAAGTGTAGTTTAAAAGAGCTTTAGTTTAATAATTAACACACTTGCCAGCTCAATTATAGCCAACTCAAAAGAAAGATACACAAAAAGAAATTGGCCTCATAAACATACTCAACTATAAATGGATTTTATTTTCCTACACTCGAAATGTAACAAAGTTTTACATGAGAACCCTTGGACCTTTATGAACTCACTATTTTTTTAAAAGCATCCTCAGAAGACTGAGGTAAAGACCCTCTGCAGTTTTATACTATTAATAGTTCTGTATTATAGAATACATAGGTGATTAGAAAATATTTTTCAATGCCAAATTAAAACATTTTACCTCAAGTTTACCATTTGATGACTAATTTTCACTAACAGGTTTGAGATTATCCTATCAACCTTTCTCAAAAGTGGCAAATACTTGGAGACCATTGATCTAATTTAAAATTGAGTGATGAGTTCATTTCCTTACTGAATGTAATCAGTGTCCGGGGCTCTGTGCAGCAGCTCCCTTAACAATATGTAAATTTAAGTGACCAATGTCAGCCTAAATATTTGAAAAACTCCCTTAATTTCTTTTGCTCACAAATGCCTCCTCTGTTGAACTTCACTAAGCATTGTTCTCTAATGGCAGACTGGAACCACATCCACAGTCTCTTCCTCAGGATAAGCAAGAGATAGGATGCAGAGGACAGGAGGATAAAGCAGGTCCGAGTTTTAACTCAGCTGATTCCAACTTCCTTATGTTGACTGAGATTCCTAATGGAATCCGGCACTTAATTGTCAAGTAGTCAGTTTTTGGAGGTGATGACATTTTTTCACGTCTTCATGTGAAATCTTGCTATGTAAAGTTGGTCAATGCAATAAACTTTGGTGCATAACTAAATGGTATCAAGATACAATGTAAGTTTATTTGTGGATCAGTTTGAGGTTAACAAAATAGGAGATGATAAAATGTTCAATTTTTTTGTATTTTATAAATGAGCTCAGAGAACACTGGTGGGTATGAAGAGACTGCTATGAAATAGCAGATACGACCACAATGTGAATCTGCTAAAAAGGATCCACAGTTAATAAAGTGGTTTCTATATAGTAGTTAAGGGTAGGGGCTCTAGTTCCAATCTGTGTTGTATTGTTTGTATATTGGGGAACTAAGCATCTCTACACCTAACTTTCCTCATCTCTACACCTAACATTTATCACCTCCATCATTCAAGAATTATCCAATCACTTTGGTGATTCAAAGATAATCATCATGTATTTTACTTTCATAAAATTTTAAAACCTGGTTGGGGATAGGAGCAGTACATAAGAAGCAGCACATAATTATAATACAAGGGGGAAAAATTTAAAAGAGCATAAACCCTGGAGCAAGACTGCCTGGATTAGAATTCTAACTCCCACTTTCTTTGAGAAGTAGAGCAAGTTACTTAATTCATGACCCTTCATAGTTTCCTCATTTCTAAAATGGTGATAATAGTATTTACACCTCAGAATGTTTTATGAGAATTAAGTTTAATATAAAGAGCTTATCGAAACTACAATAAGATACCATTTCATACCTATTAGGATGGCTATTATCTTAAAAAAAAAAAAAAAAAAACAGGAAAAAAAACAACTGTTGCCAAGGATGTAGAGAAGTTGGATCCCCAGTGCATTGATGATAGTAATGTAAAATATACAAACACTGTGGAAAACAGTATGGCGATTTCTCAAAAAATTAAAGTTATCTTATGACTCAGCAGTTACCCTTCTAGGTATGCACTCACAAGAACTGAAAGCAGAGATTCAGTTTTCTTACACCCATGTTCAAAGCAGCATTATTCACAATAGCCAAAAGGTGGAAACAACACGTGTTCATCCACAGAGCAACAGAGACACAACAGGTGGTATATATATACAATGGAATATTATTTAGCTTTAAAAAAAATTCTGACAAATGCTACAATATGGATGCATCTTGAAAACACTATGGTAAGGGAAATAAGTCAGGCACAAAAGAATATTCTGTAATTTCATTTATATGAGGTACCTAAATTAGTAAAATTCATAGACAGAATGTAGAATGGTGGTTACCAGGGGCTAGGAGGAGTAAATGGAAAGTAGTTCTTTAATGAGTACAGAGTTTCAGTTTGAGATGATGAAAACATTCTGGAGATAGACAGTGATGATGGTTGTACAACAATGTGAATGTACTTAATGCCACTGAACTATACATTTAAAAATGGTAAAATGGTAATTTTTTTTGTATATTTTACAATCAAAAAGAGGTCAAAACAGAGTCTGTCACACAATAGGTACTCAATAAATATTAACTACAAGTGCTTTTGAAAGAGTTTGAAAGGAAAAATTTACAGTCAGATCAGATATTTGGGTGAGAAGATTTCATCTGAGCTAAGACTTGATGAATGTGTAAAATGGACAGCAGTTTATTAATATCACACTTTATGAATAAAAAATAGATGTTAGGTGATGGGTTTGCAAATGCTTTTGTCAAAATTTAAATAATAAATTAACAACTATTATATGCTAGGCATGGGGGTTATATTGATGAAGAAACTCATAATCCAGTGAAAGGGTCCAAAACACACATAGATAAGCATGGAAAATTAATACATTCAAAGATCAAACAAATACCTCTTACCATCTAATTCTACATTTTATTGGACAGTTTGCAGTAGTTGATACTAAAAATTTTGGACTTTAAAGAACTCTAGTTACATTTTAGATCATCTTTTTTCATACTATTCCATTTTCCCCCAATCCCACTACCCGACTTTTTTCAGTTGTTTCTTTTACTAATACCCAGTCTGCCTTTTAATTTTACCCTTTAGTTTCTCCCAGTTAGTAGAATCATTAAAATCATAATGAAAAACAAAATTATAAATTAAGTTATACTATAGAAATTGCTGATAATTCAAAAGCAATAATTTCATATAGCTCAACATTATGGCAACTCCAAAGTCCTTATTTTTAAGATTTTTAAATTTGAATTTTATATATTTAGAAATTAAGCACAATGGCAGTAATAGGACTTCATATTGACAAGTGACCTGTCGATTTCCAACTTATAAGTGCCGTTTTCTATATCTGAAGGATAACAGCCAATCTTTTCTAAATTCAGTCAACTTTTCTATCATCAGTTACATAATGAAATAAGGTTTCATTTCTATTTGGAAGCCATTTTGTAATTTTTAAACTACATTTCAAGATATTCAGACATGAGTGCTTAATATTTAATGCTAAAATTTCAGTGAATGATCTATTGAACAACAGAATACACTACTAGCAACAAAAGGGAATAGACTACTGACACACAACATGAATCAATCTCAAAAATATGTGGAGTAGAAGAAGGCAGAGTGTATATTGTAGTATTTCATTTATATGAATTCTAGAAAAGACATATTTCATCAACAGTAACAAAAAGCAGATCTGTGGCTGCCTACCGCTGGGGACAGAAAAAATGATTGATTGTGGAAAAGAATATAAGGGAACCTTAGTAGGCAAAGGAAATATTCTCTATCTTGACTGAGGTGATAGTTACATAGTTTGTCAAAACTCAATGAAATGTACACTTAAAATGGGCACATGTTATTTTATGTAAACAGTACCTCAATAAAATTCATTTACAGAAAACAAAATGATAGTATATTTTTAAGAGTTCATTTACCAAAAAAAAAAGTATTTTTAATTAACAAGTAAAAGATGAATATCTTATTTTTAAAAAATTAATGTAGTATGGATAAAGCTAAAGTTTCCTTTGGCCAGCCTCTCAAACCTGGTTTCTACCCCTTAAACTCTCCATCTATACTGTCTCCTCCAAATAATCACTGTTGTGAGTTGGTATGGGTTCTTCTGACCTTTAAACATATGTTTACATACATACACAACCACTGAAAACATACAGTATTATTTTGTACAAAGGTATAACTTGAACATATCTTTCTGTAACTTGCTACTTTCACTTAGCATTATGTTTCTGAGATCTACCCATGTTAAAAGTTAGTATCTTTTAAATCCAATATAGCAATTTATTTTATGACTATAGTGTATTTTATTTAGCCAGGCCTTTCCCCTCCTGACTGATATTTAGGTTGTTTTTCCCCATTACAATTCACCAGTGTCGTGGTAAACAATAGTGGCCACAGGGATTACAGATGGTGTTCCAAAGGCACTTTAGCCTTATCTGTAAGGTTTAATTTTTTACAATGAGAATGTATTCATGTATTATTTGTATAATTTAAGTACTGACTTTAAAACTTTTTCTGATACATAAATTATCAGAAAAGAATGAAACAAAATCAGTAATAGGAAGCAATCATCTATTAAAATATAAGGAAGACAAAGTTATAGGGAATATTTGTGTATTCATGGTTTGAGACAAACACTGAAAAATAATGATCTGAGTACTAGATAGGTCATATAAACACATCTCCTACTCAAAGCAATTATAATGAAAATATGAGCATATTGGTTATCATTGCATCAGCATAATTAAATCATGCAAAAACACTTTACTTATACTTTTTGTTTTCTTCTTTTATGACTATGATGTCTTTCCCCATCCCTGAAATGAAAAGGGTAAAGAAGAAACTATCATAAATGATGGACATTTTAAATTTTAATACAAAAGCTTTAAAATAATTCATCGATAACATACTTATATCAGATATAAACCAGAACAAGTTAAACCATGCATTTACAACTGAACTGTGATTTTTTAAGAGTAAATATGGAAAATGCATCATTAAAATTAAGGAATAAACAAAATCGATTTTTTAAAACTGTACTTTTGAGTTCTGCTTTAAAATTAACTTTGAATAAACGTACCTAGTTGATAACCAGAGAATTTATTTCAAAGAAAATACTAAAGTCATAGAAACTTTCTGACACCCTTATCCTGGCTCCTATCTCAATGCCCCATAATTCATTCCATCTCAGGGGGGAATAGCAAAGATTAGCCTATTCAAAACTACTTCCTGCTAAAAAAATTATCCTCTCTAAAAAAATTATCCATGTTTAGATTTTGAGACTACTGTAGTTAAGTAAATAGAAATTGATCAGATGTCAAAAATTAAGTTAAAAAAGCACTAACAAACTAGAAAGTAGAAGAGCACAATTTCTGATAGCTAATCAAGAATTAACTTGTATATAATTATATCATTCATTATATGAAGCAAAAGGAATTACTAAGCAAACATTTCATTTTTATAGGAGAACTAAATCATAGCTAGCTTTAAAAATATGAACTGCATGACAGTATGAGCAAAATTATTAAACTAATAAACCTTATTTATTCCTGACCACTAGGGGACCTAGAAAGAACAAGATATCATTTGAGAGCCTATTGTTAGACAAACACTGTGCAGATAATACCAAATAATACATTGACTGCCCTCAAAGAGCTCACGGTCTAGTAGGGAGAGTAATAATTAAGTTCAATAAAAAGTATGTGCCAGGTAGACTGGTAACAAAATGGAAAAAATAAGCTCTGTTTGAATGAGTGAAAAAAAGCTTTGTGGGAATGACTAAGCTAGGTCTTAAAGGATGAGGAGTTTAATAAGCAGGCTTTTAAAAAACAGGCAGCAGAACATGACGTGGAAAGGCACAAATGTGGCACGGTATGAATGAGAAACTGTAATTTGAGCTAGCTAGAGCATAATATAAGGATAGGTAGGCAGAGGCCCTAACCCTGGAGGTCTTGAGAGCCATTCTAAGCAATGTGAATTTTGCCAATGAAGAGTTTTAAGAGGTGAAAATTCACTCTGGCAATAGCATAGGGATGAACTCATAAGGGACAAGCTTACAAATAGAATAATTAGGAAAACGACCATTATTTTCCACATGGACAGCAATAATCACAGAGGTGTGTATGAGGTATTTTCAGGCAGAACTGACAGCAATTAAGACCAGATGGTAAGGAATAAAAAAGGAATATCTAACATGACTCCTTGATTTCTGACTTAGATAAACAGATGATGGTCATCCACTAACCAGGATAGGAAATGCTGAGGAAAGAGGAGCAGATTGAGAAAAAGAAAGTTCAGTTATAGACCTGATGAACCAGGTAGATGCCCAGTAAGCAGCTGGAATACAGAAATAGACTTCAACTGATTTAAATTCATTACTTTAGTATGAGTTCATATTTCTCAGATATCAAAATTTTATCAGGGATATTAACAAGGGCAAAATTGATATTAAAGTTTGGATCTCCTTTCTGACATTATACATCCTCTATCTGAGGAATTAGCAAAAGAAAAAGACAACAACAAAAAGAGAGAGGAATAGTGGAAGAGAGGAAGGAAGGCGGGAGCAAAAGGCAAACGCTTTTTTAACAGTTATCTTTCTACCTAGACATTACTTTCAAATGCCTTGATTAGAAAACAAGTAATAAAAAAGGAAACCCATATCCAATCAGATATATAGAGAATTGTCACCAGAGCTGTGATTATTTGAACTGAAACAAGATGACTGTTAAGAATGTTCATCAATTATTTATCCGCCTTACCTTAATTTATTGCTACAATCTATTTTTTCACCATGGTCTATAACAGAAGGAACTATTTTTCAAAAGTAAACAATTCAATGTTAGATAACACAGTGTTAGACTTACCTCTCCTTCCTTCTTCTCGAGTCCCAGTTTTTATCTTTATCTTTATTTCTTTTTCGTTTATGTGGGCTCCTACTCCGACCCCTTCTATGTCGTGAACACTCAGCATCCAAATAGCTTCCACCTGACTGCCGTGAATCTACTGAAGCTGATCGCCTTTCTTCATTCCTGAAACCCAGAAAAGAATATTAATGTTACTTTTAACCACTGGTCTCCCATATAGGCCAGACTAAAGTCCAATATTCTATATCAGACCAATGACAGATAACGTCTAAGTAAATATATATAATCTTACATTCCATACAAGAAGGCAATCAAAGAAACATAGCTTTTATAACATCTTTTACAACTCTGGTATAATAATCCTGAGCAATGACAAATGAAAAGCATTCTGATGAGTAATAGTGTGCTACTAATGGCCTTAGAAATGCTAAAATTTAAATGATTACAGGTAACAGATTAAAAAGAGAATATTTTCACCGATAAAAACGACATACTTTTCACCATCATCCTCTGCTTTTTCCTGCTCCTCTTGCCAATGATTACTGAGTTCTTCCATGTGCACATTTATCACATCCCGAATCACCTTAGGAGAGTTAAGCACAGAATTTCAGATAAGAAAGCTGTTCAAAAAATTAAGACTATAAGCTAGGGGGGAAAAAATCACCACTGACAATCAAATATTTATTAAGAGCTATGATACAATGGACTATGGGATGTGTTTAGAAAACAAAAGAGATAACAGTCGAATTGAAATACGGATGGTAGATGAAAATATATTAATGTTAAATCAGCTAAAGTTGATAACTATACTATGACTATGTAAGAAAATAACCCTATTCTTAGGAAATACATACTAAGTATTTAAGGACAAAGAATCATGTCTACAACCCTTAAATAGTTCAGAAAAAAAATTTATGTACAGATAGAAACTGAGAGTAAAAAATGTACAGATAAAGATAGTACAAGTGATCTGTATAAAGGATAGACAGGAGCTCTTTGTACTATTTTTATAGTTTTGCAATTTATTTATATATTTGAATTATTTACAAATAAAACTTTAAAAAAAAAACCGTATAACTAAGTTAAATGACAGACAAAACATGAAACATTATAGTCAATTCACAGATACTTTCCCAATGAGACTATCAATTAATTACCTAAGAACCATTTAAAGGTTTTTTCTTTCCTGTTTATTCTATGGCATCACCAAGCACAGGGCTGGTCACTATTTAGATGAAGCTTACAGATGGTTCCCTCACGCCTAATTAGGAAAGTTTTAAGAAGAAAGGTACAGGAAACAAAGGGCAATCTCAGAGACACATACTATAGGTTCAGGTCTGACTGCGTTTCTCCTCATCTTAAAGAAATTTTCAACAGCTCCTAAAGTAAAATGGAACAATGTCCAAACCCTGTAACAGAGCCTGTGAAGCCTTCCACAATTTTACTACATCACAAAGTAGAAGCTAGCCTTATCTCCCACTTGATAGTTCTTTAAAAGCCCCAAGTTCTAGCCACCCTGGATTACTAACGGGTCTCTGGAAAACTCCTGTACTTTTATTTATTTTTAGGAACACTAGTCCTTTCACCTGGAAAATCTTCATCCACCATTTCCCCTCCTCCACTATATTCTCTTGTGGAAAATCTAAGACAGGTCAAGGTCTAACCCAGGGAGTGGTAACAGTCACACACACCTGAATTCCAATCCCAGCTCTAACACCTCTGGAGTAGCCCTCAATGACTCCCTGACTAGTAGTTCTATTGGAGCTCCATGAAGCCAAATGTCACTGGATGCGGTTTCCACAGGGCCAACCTAGCACAAGTCCATCAAATATGAAAAATTCAATAAAGACATTCTCTTACCCCTATCTCTGCTTCTCCCCTTCTCTCAAATATGATTTTCTCTATGAAGGCTATACCAATCTTACCTTTTTAAAAAATTGCTCCTTCTTCCCACATACTTTGATCTCACTTTATTTTAGCACTTACTACAATCTGTATTTTGAAAGGTCTTTTTCACTTATTAACTACAATAAGCTCCTTAAGGGTGGGGTCTGTGTGCACTTATCTTAAAAGTAAGTAAGTATACTTACTTTTATTTATTGCATAAGTATACTATGTAATAAATTTACTGAAATTTGTCAAAGTTCAGGTTATAGTTCAGAGCAAAGAAAAATTATATAAGATATAAATGAAGTTAGGAATTGATAAAATGTTCAAAAAGCCCTGACCAGAGATATAAATCACTAAAAGATCTGTAAACACTGAAGTAATTTACAGATGAAAGATTATTTGGGATCTGTTTCTAAAATTACCAAGTGTTAGGACAGGGGAGATAGATAGTGAGTGGGGATATAAATAAAACCAGGAGGTTGTATGTTGATAATTGTTGAGGCTGGGTGATGGGTCATACATCACACATCATACGTAATGAACATACAAGTTTATTAGACTATTCCATCCACTTCAGTACATGTTTAAATATTTCCATAATAAATAGTTAACCATAAAATTGTAAAGAACACTAACAGCAACACTTAAATTTGATCATAAGGTTATGAGACTACAGAATAAACAAATGAGGTATTGTACAACCAAGTATTTGAGGGACTATAAGAATCACTAAGGTAGTATGACATGGTCCCAGACCTCTACTGAGAGAGATGTCTAAAGTAGATACTGTAATTATAAAAAGAACAGCATAAAATTAAGTGCTAAGCCATGTGGTACAGAGCATAAATGCGACAAGCCACTGGATGGCTTAGAGTCAACTAGCACTTCATGAAAACAGTGTATATCAAGATTTCCAACAGTGATATTCCTGTTCATGATGGAGGCATAGGAAAACCCTGAACTCACCTCCTCCTATGGATACAACAAATAAACAGCTACAGATGGAACAATTTTCCTCTGAAAAGGATCTGAGAGCTTGATGAACAGTGCCTCCACAACAAAAGATAAAAGAGATGCATTGAGACGGGTAGGAAATGCAGAGACACGGGCTCATCTGAGACCTCACCGCAGGTGTGGTGACCCACAACCAGAAGGGATTCAAAAATAAGAAACTCTCCTTCGAAGAGTGAAGGAATCATGCCCCACATTAGGCACCCCAATTCTTGGATCCAGCACAGGAAAGATAAGCCCCAAAGTGTCTGGTTTTAAAAATCAATAGAGATTAAGTCTGCTAAAACAAAGAACTGTAGGGAATGGACAACTTGTTCTTAAAGGGCGTGTGTACATACCCACTCACCCTGAAATCTAGCACAAAAGCACCAGTTTGAAAAGGCCTAGACCACAAGTGAGGGAGATCTACTTACTAAACTTAAAGCAGTTGCTCACTAGGATTTTCCCCAGGAACATAAGCACTAGCTAGCACCATTTTTGCAACCTCATTCTAACTTGCTAGTGATGAAGCTGGTATATGCCATTTTTGGTGCCCTTCCTCTGGCCTGCCGGCACCAGTAGAGTGATCTGCCCATCCCGTGCTGCAACCAGCCAGGCAAGCACCCACACCCTGTCCAACCCATGCAGTAGGCACACAATAAGACAGACAAGGAAACCGTGCCCCATACCTCCCGCACAACAGCTGCACCACAGCCAGGCTAGATGAGCGCCCCACGACCCACTCATCTCACACCGCAGCTGGCCTTGCCACAGGCTGTGGGTAGACACAGCCCACATAAGGGAAGCACCTTGAGCGCCTGACTCTGGTGGCAAGAGAAGACTGCACTTTTGTACACCACAGATCATCTACTACAAAAACAATTAACAAAATGGCAATAAGTGCATACTTATCAATGATTACTTTAAATGTAAATAGACTAAATTCAGCAATCAAAAGATACAGAGTGGCTGAATGAATAAAACAACAAGACCCATCTATATGTTGCCTATAAAAAAGTCACTTCAAAAGGACACACACACAGACTGAATGTGGAAGAATGGAAAAAGATAATCTCTGTAAATAGAAATGAAAAGAAAGCTGGTGTTGCTATAAAAATATCAGACAAACAGACTTTAAAACAAAGACTGTAATATGACAAAGAAGGGTACTACATAATGCTAAAGGGGTCAATCCAGCAAGAGGATATTACATTTATAAATATATATGCACCCAACATAGGAGCACCGAAATACACAATGCAAATATTAACAGACTTAAAGGGAAAAATTAAAAGCAATAAAATAGTAGGGGACTTACACACTCAACTTTTAGCAATGGATAGATCACCTGGACAAAGAAATCAGTAAGAAACCATTGGCCTTAAATGACACATTAGCCCAGATAGACATAAAGATATATATATAGAGAACATTCCATCCAAAAGCAGAATACACATTCTTCTCAAGTGCACACAGAACATTCTCCAGGTCAGAGCACATGTTAGGCCACAAAACAAGTCTCAATAAACTCAAGAAGACTGAAATCACATCAAGCATCTTTTCTAACCACAATGGTATGAACTTAGAAATCAATCATAAGAAAGTGGAAAACCCCAAAAATGTGGATATTAAACAACATGCTACTGAACAACCAATGGATTAACAAAGAAATCAAAGGAGAAATAAAAAAAAAATACCTAGAGACAAACAAAAACAGAAAAATACCTAGAGACAAACAAAAACAGAAATATGACATATCAAAATCTATGGAATGAAGCAAAAGCATTTCTAAGAGGGAAGTTCACAGCAATACAGGCCCACCTCAAGAAACAAGAAAAATCTCAAATAAACAACTAACTTTACACCTAAAGAAACTAGAAAAAGAAGAACAAGGCCAAAATTAGTAGAAGAAAGGAAATAATAAAGATCAGAGAAGAAACCGATGAAATAAAGACTAAAACAATAGGAAAGATCAATGAAATTAAGGGTTGGTTCTTTGAAAAAATAAAATCAACAAACCTTTAGCTAGACTACCCAAGAAAAACAGAAGGGCTCAAATAAATAAAACACGAAATAAAAGATTACAAGTGATATCACAGAAATACAAAGGATCATAAGAAACTACTATGAACAATTATATACCAACAAATTGGACAACTTAAAGGAAATGGATAAACTCCTAGCATACAATCTTCCAAGACTGAATAATGAAAAAGAAAACCTGAATAGACCAATTACTAGTAAGGAGATTGAGTAAGTAATCAAAAACCTCTCAAGAAATAAAAGTCCAGGACCATGTGGTTTAACAGGTGAATTCTTCCCAGCATTCAGAGATTTAATAACTATCTTTCTCAAACTCTTTTAAAAAACTGAAGAGGAAGGAACTCTTCCAATACATTCTACGAGGCCAGATTATGAAAAGTCTTTGAAATCATAGAGAGAAGTGAGGAATAACGTGGGAATAATTAGGAGTTCAATGAAGAAATTCATATACCAAAAAATTCATTAACTCTATCCACTGAATGACATCTGAAAATAAATCTAGATATATATCAAGAGATTAATGTAATTAATTATATGATTTTATAATATTTTAATTTATAGTACATAAATAATTTATACCATGGTATTTCTTAAATCTAAATATTTAGTAGAGTACATAAAAGCACACTAAAATTTCTGTCCCAAAAAAAAGATAGCTATTTATTGAGTAATTTGTGTCTACATGCATAATCTCAGTTATCTTAACACCCCTGCAGTCTGTATTATTATAAAATGAAAAAAGCTGAATCTTAAAAAGCTCAAATAGCTTGCCCAAGTCAAATAGCCAATGATAAACAGCATAGACAAAACTTAAGCCCGGCTCTGTTTAAAGCCAAAATCCACGCTCTTACCACTTTTTCAAAAGGAGGTATTTTTTAAAGATTATACACTCTTTATGTAAGGTTTTTGTACCCTGAAAAGCCTTTGTCTGGTAAAGGGTGGGTCTGACAGTGATGGAGCAAATACAAAATCAGATATGGCCACCTTGAAGATACAATCTCTGAGGAACTGTGGAATTCCATAGAACAGACTCAGAAAACTACCTAAGGGAAATTTCTGTTCTCGGCAAAGCTCTACAAGATTATGTAAAACTTACCTCAGTATATGATTTCTTGGTTATGTGAACATTCTTAGCTCTATAGGACTGGCGTCTTCTTTTATAATCCCTCACTTCTGCCAGGATTTCAAGGTAAGATTTTGGACTCTTTCGACTATTATCTAATAAATAAAATAAAATTATTATATGCTTAGAAGCTTTTAAATTCTTATAAATTAGCAGGAAGATCACAATCATCCTATATTTCAACATGTTTCAGTGTAGCACACAAAAATATTATAAAAATTCTATGTTTTATAAATGTGCTACGTTATCATTTCTTTTCTCTAGTCATCAGTTGAACATAAGAGTGTTTAGGTACATAGATTCAAGTAACAGCACAGCTGTTAAGTAACATTCTTACAGGAGGAAGCTATGCTTAATGAAAAATTAGAGAGCAAAATTTCATGTACTAAGTAAACACCTTAATATATATATGAATAGCAGGTGATACAAAACTATCCTATTCCAACTCATCTTAACACTCAAAGAACAGAATGACGGTTAAGAAATAAAAAACTAAGATATTCATCTCTAACCTTGATTGACTTTTGCAGCCAAGTCTACAAAGAGATCACTGTCATTTTCAATAATCTGAGAATCAGAGCGCTTTTTCTTTGTCTCCTCAATTACAAAATCATAAAGGGCAAGACGATCAGCTTGGGTTAGATCACAAATAAATCGTTTGTGATTCAGAGGAACTTCAACAGGCAATGAAGAATAAATCCCTAAAGTAAAAATAAAATCACAAGAATAAACAATACATGAAGCACTGTGGACTTAAAATTCTACTATTTATCTTTAAATATGTGCTGTAATACAATATTAACATAATTTTTTCACAATAATCCCTAAATATATAAAGTATCAATCTATATGATAAATGATAAACAATGAGTCTATCCTGAATGCTATACCCACATAAAGGATGTACTGTGGACGTTTTCTATTCTCTCCAACAGTGTTAAGAGAGATCCCATGAAGGCATGCTTAGTAGTAATAACCATGAGACAATTTGCTTCTAAGAAAATCTTTTGGGTAACAATTTTTAAAAGGCTACCCACATTCTAAAAGTAGATATTAACTTCTCATTTATATGCTTTTTCCCATAAAAGCTAAGGGAAAAACTTTTAATAAATATAAACATTATAGTCCCTTTGAAAATGAATTATGGAAATATGAAAAATACAGAAAATGTGTCTTTTTCATCCGAGATATCAAGTTAACTGTTCCATATTCAAAATATATCCCATTTGTGCAATGACTTAGAGCTAGGGACCAAAAAACAATTAAGTAGCAGAAATTCCACACTTCCTCAGAACAGAGAAAGACAGATTAAGACTAAACTTGTTTTAATTTTCTCAAGAGGAAGCATATTGGCTTAACCAAATTAATTGAAAAAAGTTAACAGTGGTGCCCCCACAATGGTTACAGAACTTTCTAAAATCTGCTCGTTAATGAAAAAAAGTAAATACAATACCTTGATATGATGTATTAAACATTGAAGAAAAATTTTGTTTTGAGATTCAAATTTTCTCAAAGAAATAAAAAATTATTGTAACTGTAAATAAAGCAATTTAAAATGATAGTCCCATACTTCATTATTCACTAATGCAAATAAAGAACATTAGCTACTAAAGGAAAGCTTTAATATTTGCTAGGTTACTCTAAAGTAATAACTCTGATTCACAGAACAATGTAAAACCAGTGGCTCTTCCCAGATACTTATATTTGATAAAGTCTAACCTTGTTGACTTCCTAAGAAGGCCTAAAAAAATTTTTTTTCAAACAAAACCATACCATGAACTAAGTATTACAGTACAAAAAAAGAGATGACTTTACATTTGTCTATAAATTAAGAGAATAACTACATTGAATCTGAGTCTGTGGTTTAATAGCTATGGATAACAATACATGGCCATTTGTACTAGTTGACAGGTTTTGAATTAGTGGGGAAGAAGGGTTCCCTTTCAAGTCAATCAATTTTACCCTAATTCTGGTGGACACTAGGAAAAGACCTTTTATGCAGCCAGATCTTAAAACATTTAATTTAAAATAATATAAAAATGAGTTAGCTTTGATAAACTTAATTCCTTTGAATATAGGCTATAAAAGTCTGGGAGAGAAATACAAAGATTAGAAAACATTGTACAGTCATGCGCCACTTAATAATGGAGATATGTTCTGAGAAATGCGTTGTTAGGCAATTTCATCACTGTGTGAATATCACAGAGTGCACTCACACAAACCTAGATGATATAGCCTACTACACACCTAGGCTATATGGTACAGCCTATTGCTCCTAGGCTACATGCCTGTACAGCATGTTATTATACTGAATACTACAGGCAACTGTAACACAATTATGTATTTGCATATCTAAACATACCTAACCCTGGAAAATGTACAGTGAAGATACAGGTAACACAATTATGTATTTGCATATCTAAACATACCTAACCCTGGAAAATGTACAGTGAAGATACAGTATAAAAGATAAAGTGAGGGGGGCAGCATATGGGTTAGTGGGGCAGGGGAAGGACTGTGGAGGAAGGCATGATAGGAGGCAGAGCAGACATAAGAAGGAGGGAGCAAAGAAGGGAGAAAGAGAAGAGAAAGGGAGAAAAAGGGGGAACAGAAGCAGAGATCAAAAAGAAACAGATAAAGCTTGAGACAAGAAATAAAAGGGGGAAGGAGGAGAGAGAATGAGAGAAAGAGGAGAGGGAGGAATGGAACTGGGAGGAAAAAAGAGGTAAAAGAAATGGAGGGAAATGAGTTTGTGTGCAGAAGTGTGTGTGCATGTACATGTTTGTGAAGGGGCAGGCATGGGCTGTGGGGGGAGCTCCTGGGCTCTCCTTTTCTCCATCCACTCTCTTAACTCCTTTACCAACTCCAGGCCCCAGCAAGGGGCAAGGCACAAGGCAGACAGACAACAAGCTGAGCCTCCTTGTCTATTTAAACCACCCAGAGCTAGCAATAAATTCCACATCTTAGCTGGGTCCCGCCTTTTCTTTCACCATCACAAACTTCTGCTTATAATCCATTATAATCTTACAGATCATTATTGTATATTATATGCTGTCTGTTGTAGACAAAACATCATTATGCAGTACATGACTGTATTATAAGCTCCACATAAACCTTTGCCTGTCATTTTTAAACAAAGAAATATAATTTCCTCCTTAAAATATTTTGGAATTTTCTTTATTCATCTTAAATTTCTGTATGGTGAAGACTGATACTTAAATTCCTTGAAATTCAACTAAAATTCCAAATCAAGACTGTATTATTGTGACAGTGATTAAGATAAAGTTTAGAAATTTGAGTGATACTTTTAAAAGGATATCATTTGCAAAAAGGATACTGCATATCTTTAAATAAGGAGTACATTCAGGTTCCTAATTCCTCTTTATACTCACCCCAATTACTGAAAAAGAAAAAGTACAGGAAAAGTTAAACAACAAACTGTATTCAAATCATTCAGAACACAGATATTTGTGACAAAAAAAATGGGTAAACACACTTAAACACATTTACATTTCAATAAAATGTAAATTTTCAAATGCAAGTTTCTATATGATTTAGAGGTACATGTGAATGGGCTGTAATCACACTGATTCTGAGATCTTCTTTCTACTTTTTTGTATAGTAGTTTTTTTTTAATTGTGATAAAATATACATAACATAAAATTGGCCATTTTAACCACTTTAAGTGTATAGTTCATTGGCATTAGCACAATCGCATTGTTGTGCAACCATCTCTTCTATTCACCTCCATAACTTTTCATCACCCCAAACTGAAACTCTTAATCTCCTTTTTAATAACTCTTAATTCTCATTCCTCCTTGTTAAGTCACTCTTACCATCATAGAGCACCTAAACCATATGAGAAACAACACTAAATATTAACAAGAGGCATTGTTTCCAAAATACGAATTCAGAATTTTAGGGAGAATTCACATTGCATCAATTTCCTAACATTAAAGATAAAGAAATTAAAACCCACAGAAGCAAAATGACTTGCCAAATTCTCACAAGTAGTAGGAACAGATTAGCTCTAGAACCACTGTAATCCAGTCTCTTTAGGATTCTTTAGTAAACTGATCTTCAAATTGTGGCCATGACTCAAATACAGTTGACCCTTAAACAATACAGGGGTTAGGGGTATGAACACCAACTTCCCCATGCAGTTGAAAATCCTTGTATAACTTTTGACTCCCTAAAAACTTAGCTACAGTCAGCCCTTGGTATCCATAGGGGATTGGTTCTAGGATCCTCCACGGATACCAAAATCCACAGATGCTCAAGTCCCTTATATAAAATGGTGTAGAACAATGCACGCAGTCAGCCCTCCACATCCCTGGATTCCCAACAGTGGTTTGAAAATTCTGTTTTGGTATCCTCCTGGGATACCAAAATCCATGGATGTGAAACCTATGGATACAGAAGGCCAACTGTATTTAATTTTAAAAATCTTTGTATATGTGGATCTGCACAGTTCAAACCCACGTTGTTCAAAGGTCTACTGTATACATCATAAAAGTATAGCAACTCTAATCTTTAATACGGAAGGAAAAAGATGAACCACTCAATATAAAATGATTGTTTATGAGTGGAATTAATATCTAGGTTATAAAATTAACCAAAGTAATTATATATGAACATAAGTAGATCTAACGGTTGTTTAAGCTTTCACAAAATTAATGGATTAAGAATTCAGTACCTTGAGTTTAGATTTAAGACTGATGAAATAAAAACATAAATATAACCTCATTAAAAAACTTATAATTTAGTAAATAACAAAATATTAATTAAATGGGGAAATGTAAACTTGTTCATGTTAGTCATCTTCCTCCAAAGTAAATACATCAATAAAACAATATTAAAGAGGTCCCGGGGTAAAATATTTTAATATGCCTAAGATATAAGTGAGTCACAAAAAATAATCTTTAAGAAATTGCAGAACTTTATACAAGATTTTTGAAAAAGCTCTAAAAAGGTTATAGATCATATAAAAAGTTATTCTTAACAATTAAATCTTAATTTAAGCTAGTGCAAAGATTCAAAATCAAATAAAAGTTCCTCTTAACTGTTGAAAGTATTCTTTTGTAAAGAACTAAACTCAATGTCCAAATCTGCCTTATTACTCAATTATATAAATAAAAAGCTTAGAACATTTTCTAATGTCTAGAATATTACTCATATATATAAAAAAATTCTCCCCCATTTCATTATCTTAATATTGCTTCCTATACATTAATTTGCTTAGAAATTAAACTGCTTAGACAATAGCAGCTACCAATTACTAGTTAAGGCTAGCGTAGCATTCATATCTCTATTGCTATAAACCACACCACAACATAGTTTTGTATTACAGATAAAGAAGCGAAAACTCAGAAAAGTTGTCATTTGTAAAAGGTGAAGCAGTAGTTTATTTCTTTAAAATAGTCTCACATAAAGTAGAATAAACAATGAACGGTATTAACAGTTACAGTATAGAGAATTGAAGTTTGTGATGTTCTACTTAATCATGATAGACATAATAATGAATATATTTGAGCAACACCTAGAATCCACAAATTTCACTAAATGTGGAGTTTCTGACAGAAAGCAGAATAACTCAGTTCAGAGTTTGTGCCAAAATTCAGAACTTGGTTCTCAACCCAGCTTTGCTATTATCTAGCAAAGGAGTGTTAATTTAATTCACTTGTATGCCTCTATTTCTTTATTAACTATGGAGGAGAAAATACTTGTCCAATCTATCACAAGTCTGTTGTGAGGCATAAAGAAATATATAAAAGAGCTTTGAAAAAAAGGATCTCTCTTAAAATTTAAAAGTATTGAGGGCCTTTAGAACAAATACACCAGAACTTTATTATCTCTATCAGACATATTTTTTTCCCTTATCTGTAAAAAGCAGACACTGGACGAGATGATATCCAAGTTCTCTTTCAACTCTGAAATAAATCCAGTAAATCTATCTAACTAGTTAAGGTCAAATAAAGTCCTTTAACAATTAACCCTTCCAAAGAACATAATTCTCTCCTTTTTAATTGGTTCATTAACTAAACAGGGGAAATGGGTAGAACCAATAATAGGGGCCAAAACAAGGCTTGATTGATCATAGCTCAGCAATCTCTTCAAAAAAGATGAGGATCAAATGTCTCCCTCAAAGAAAAAAACCTGGAATTTAGCACAAAAGTACATAAAAATGGGAGCACCAAAACAGGAATACAAGAAATGTGATTCTGGTTATAGTAAGGAACCAACATAATGTACACTAAGGATAAGAGACTTCGTCCTTCTGAAGCCACAGTGCAACTTAGGGAGAAATCAAACCCAGATATTGGCTGAGAACAATGGGTTAAGACCCTGAACATCAACAAGGTAAAAAACAAATCATAACAATGGGCTGGTGAATATAATTCAACTCGAAAGAAGAGTGAGGGGGGAAAAAGGTAAGATGTCCAGAGAAAGCAACTGTTAGAAGATTTGAAAGACAACTCAGAAATCCTTATAGAAGGAGACAGTCATTTTTAGGCTAGATGTTATATCTAGAGTCAGAAATCTAACTCTATTTATTCGTTTACTTCTGTTTTTGATAGATTAAGTTTTCTTTTAATTTCCTAAAAGCTCATGCTTAAAAATTCTAACCTAGTCTCTGCTGAAGTAATTCCAAGTCAGACACTCCTAACCCAGCTCCAAACCTGGGCATGAAGGGATTCACAAACCCTCTGAAACTGAATGTAAAACTTTTGTGTTTGTGCTTTATTCAGGGGGGCAGCTGTGGAGACTGATCTCTTTTAGCCTTATACTGCATTTCGACATTCTTACATTTAACAATGGGCTAATTCTCAAGAGAAGAAATCTTGGGGTAAGATAGTTGTACTCACTGAGATTTATTTACTAAACAATAATTTTAAAAATTATTATTACAAGGCAATCCCACCTACTAGGTCATTCCAAAGCACAAAGCCCTAACTAAGATAATGCGCTATTGAGGACTCTGGTATATTTGAGCAGAAAATATCTAACAAATGAAGTTGAAACCAGGCATGGCATTCTAATTAAATTAAAACTTAACCTTTCCCATGTAATTGTTTTCACAAGTTTCTTAAAAGTTAGTAACATGTTTTTTTGTGGGAGAAAAACAGTTTGATTCATTAATTAGCTCAAACTATGATGCCACTTACTTTGATTATAACAATCACCATCTTTGCCAACTGTGGTTCTAGCTTGTTTAATTATCTGGAATTGTGAGTCTTTATCTGTCAAAAAAAAAAAAAATCCATAAACACAATATGAATTATCAGTGTCCACAATTAAATTACTAACTGATTTCCAATCCAAGCTCTTTGAGCACATAAACAAACCTTCAAGAATCTTAGAGGAAAAACCCACATCAGTGCCTAGGTAATCCGAATGCAGAATTCTTTCAGATCTGACTAGATCCCAGTAAGTAACCAGGGATCAAGTGGTTCAGAAAACATATTCAGGCATGCAGCAATAGCCACTACAAATTTTAGCAACCAAAAATATCAAATTTCTTGAATCATTGCTAAGTGTCAGGCACTATTCTAGAATACTACATATATCATATCATTTAATCCTCACATAGGAACTATTACCATCATACCCATTTTATGAAGAAATTTAGGCAAAAAAAAAAAAAGAAACAGTTAATTATAATTACTTTGCTGAAAGTCACACATTAGTGACAAAACCAGGAGCTAAAACAAGGCAATCTAATTTCAGAGCCTAAGATTTTAATCTCTTGGAACACATTTCCATCCTCAGTCCTATCTTCAAACTGTGTTGTGTGACCAGGTTTTCGTTATAATCAAGAAGCATCCTACTGTACAAAGCAAGGTTTCATTGCCTATTAATATAAGCTTGGTCTCTAAATATCAGATTACAAAAACTAGTTTCACTGTACATTAATTAATCCTATATTCTCCTAAGGTACAAGATTTCCTTAATCATAAGTAAAAAGTCCATTCTTTTGATAATTCAAAATGAATTATCAATACCTATACAAATATATCTACAGTAAGATATTTTAAAATTATAATCTATTAAGTTAATACTTACTTAAAGTAACTGAAGGTATCCTCGCATTCTCATAGAAAAATTCAGAATCATACATTTTATCCTAAATAGTAAAGAAAAAAAGCTTAGTGTTTTTAAGTATCAGATGATTAACTATTTTAAGATTAGGCATAAACCAACAATAGAGTAGTATCATTTAAATATTTTTGCAATAATGTGTGACATTAGGCAAGTACCATTCCATCCCATAAATGGCTATTATGTCAGAAAACCTTACACTGTATCTTCCAGATATTGTAAATTTATTAATGCATAAATTATATGACATATACATAATAAATATATGGTACCTCTTCTTCTTTGGTGTAGCCCAGTTTCCTCAATCTACATGATACCATGTGCTTCGCTAAAGATGATTTAGGCATGTGATGATTGGAGTCATAAGGGCATATCACAACTTCATCCTATAAAAATCAAACAGAAGCAAAGGAACAAGGTACACAATATTTAAAAATTTAAATAATTAAATGTTTATACTTAAGTGGTATTATCTAGTTATGTCCTCTTCTACATGCCTCTCCCAACCCCGTTTGAGTATATGTGCATATTAAAAAAAAAACAACAACAACAACCTCCCTCAATCTCCCTTCCCCTTATAGCCTCTGCCTTCTCTCCACCCCTTCAAAGCCCAACTCTGAAAGACTGATTCACACTCATGGCCTCAACAGCCTCACCCATCAGTCAGTAGGTCACTAACAACCTTCTTGCTACTATAGCCAAAGCATATGTCACAGTCTTAATAATATTTGAATGCTTAGAATATCATAATACGATTGTCCATTTCCATCATCCTGTTCTTTCTACCTCTCTGGCTCCTTCTACTTGGTCTCCTCTAAAGATCTGTCTTTGTTCTACCTGTCCCCCTTTGTCATTTTTTTTCCCAAAGGCACTTTATACACCTGTGTTACACATATATTTTCTTTTATTTACATTCCAAACACTCAAACCCCACCCCTTTGGCAACCATTAGCTTATTGTCTGTATCTATGGCTACTTCTGTTTATTTATTTTTTGGATTCCACATATAAGTGAAATCATACAGTATTTGTCTTTTTCTGTCTTACTCCACTTAGCATAATACCCTCTAGGTCCATCTATATTGTCGCAAATGGCAAAATTTTCATTCTTTTTTACTACTGAATAATATTCCACTGTGTATGTATACCACTACATGTCCCCCTTTAAATGCTGGTGTTTCATGTATGTCTAACCAGTGGTATTTTGCCATTTGATATAGACTTCAATTTTCATGGCTTCAATTTTCACTACATAGTGATGACTCCCAAAATCTAGATCTTTAGACCTTGTTTCTGTCTTGAATACCTTACACTAAAGACACTAAAATTTCAAAATGACTAAAAATAATTAATTACATTCATGGTCTCCTGACCCGCAAACCTGTTCATCTTGTGTTTTCTTATTTCAGTGAAAGGTCTTACGCAGGAAACTGCCTCTTCTCCCACATCATCCACATCTAATCAATCACCTATCCTTTTTATTACTAAATAACTCAAATTTCTCCACATAAGCCATCCCCACTACCAATTCTTCAATTCAAGATATTATCATCTCTCTCCTAGATTACAACAGACATTGCCAAACTGCTTGCTCTGCTTCCAGTCTTGCTGTCCGTTCCATTCTCTACACTGCAGCTAGTGTGTTCCCAGGTCTGCCACTTACTTACTGACTGTGTGAACTTGGTCAAGGTACTAAACCTTTATTTGCCTCAGTTTCCTCATCTATGAAATGGATACAATAGCAGGATCTCTCTCATAAAGCTATCGTGAAGATTAAATAAGTTATACGTGCATTTATATATCTAAAGCAATTCAAATAGGACCTGATACATAGCAAGTGTTCAATAAATGTAAGCAATTACTTAATTAAAAGGAAAATATATTTAGGATATGCCCAGCTTAAAATACATCCATGCCTCCCCCACTGCCCTCATTAAAAAATATGTATATAGATTATTTTAAATGGCTGACAAAGAGACCTCTAAGATCTGGCCCCTAACTACTATCATTCCCCTCCTTCTCCACATCCTATGCTCTAGCTGTCCTTAACTATAGGTTTACTGATCTGGTCATGTCCTTGTCTCTGGAATTCTACATATGCTGTTGATGTTTCCTTCCTCTGTGCTTCACCTAGCTAAATTCAGCTCACTTTTATTATCAGCTTAGAATTCACTTTATCCAAGAAGTCTCTGCTGTCCCACCACAGCCCACAATAACCTGTACTACAGCAATTCTAACCCACTCTTCACAGACTTTGTCATATTATAATTTTATGGCTGATTTCTGTTTTCATCCTCACTACCACCAGACAGTAAGCTTTATGAGGACAGGAACTGAGACTGCTGTTCACTCAACTTCAGTATTAAAATACTCTAACAAAAAAGTATAGATTCATTAATTATCTGGACTGCACCTAGTCCAGGAGTTATAGATGTCACTTACCAGGATTTTTTTTAAGCCAGTCACTTTCCTGAATATTAGATATTGGTTTTGCAGAAATAAGATGTATACCCATAGCCGACAGTCGGAATTTGGGAATTTTACAAACAAGTTTTAGAGAAACAGCATAGCAATTAAGCACACAGATTCTCAGGAGCCAGAACGCCCAAGTTCAAATCCTTACTGCCATTAGCAGTGTGTCCTTGGACAAATTCGTACCTCTCTGGGTTTGCCTCATCTGCAAAATGTGGCTTAACAGTACTTACTCATAGGGTAAAGATGAGTATTAAATGAGGTAATGTATAGTAAGTGGAATATACAGAGTTGTTAACACAATAAATCCAAATTTACTACAATGCTGAGTAAACACTGGTATGGAAAGGCTTGAACTTAAGTGTTCCTGTATTAACACTTAAATATAGCACTTTGTATACTTCACTCAATGAAATTCACAGCTTCAAATATACCTCTAAACAAAAAAATAGTTTTTTTTAATTCTACTATACTGTTAATACAATAAATATGAACAGTCTGTATATAAATCAAATACACTTCTTTAGTTTTTTTAATTTTCATTTTTCAATTAGTGTTGACATTCAATATTATTTGGTATCAGTTTCAGGTGTACAGAAGACTGGTCAGACATTTATATAATTTACGAAGTTGTCTCCCTGATTAGTCTAGTACTCACTTGGCACTCTACAGAGTTGTTACAATATTATTGACTATATTCCCTATGCTGTACTTCACTTTTAAATGCCTCTGGGGAATCAGTTATGTAATTTAAACCCAAGAGAAATTATTACAGCATAGTAAACCCAGAAAGAATTTAGAGATCATGAATTATCTCACATTGGAACATTTCCCTTTCTCTCACCCTATTAAAAAAAAGTCAGAATTGGTCACTCTAATAGACTAACCTACTTTTTTTTTTTTTCAAAACAATTCTAATATTTTGGAAATCTGGCAGTCACCATCTCTTAGTGGTGTTCGTTTAATAATTCTAGGGTCGGTGCTGTCCTCAGTCAGAAGTGCACGATTTTTAGGCAAACAAAGGTGAACTGAACTCCCAAGCTCTCCTGACACCGAACCTGAGGCAACTGCGGAATCCAAGTGACAGATGACAAAGCAAACCAATACCTGTTAGCATTCTGAGACCCATTCACTTTCTAAATAAACATCAGATCTACCATTACCCCCTCGCCCACAGCATTTTCACATTTTCTTTAAACTCGAAGTTCCGAGGCAGGTGTGAGGCACAAGAGGTGGGTGCCGAGCGCTCCGGGAGGTAGCCTTGCGCGCCCCATCCCGGGACCCGGAGGCGTCATGGGCGTTCCAAGCCGGGTCCCAGGCGCTCACCATGGCTCTGCAGACAAGGTGTATGGGGGGAGGGGGGGGCGGGGGTGCTCCCATTACCTTCCCTCCGCGGCTCCCCGCGCGAATTCCTCCACAGCCAGAGAAGACTGCAGGCTGAAGGCCCCCAAAGGAACCCCGCGCGCCCAAACCCCTTACCTCTGCCGCCTCCTCCTCCCCAGGGTCCAGCCGATCCAGGCTCCAGCCCAAGGACACCGTCACCTCCTCCAGAGTCCGACAGCAGTTCTCCACGAACTCGCTCAGCTCCTCCTGCAGCCGTCGCCGGTCCTCCACCGGAGGAGGATCATCCTCCATGGCCGCGCCGGCCGCGCCACAGAGAAACTGCCGAACTGCCGGCCGCGCGCGCGGGATTCTGGGAGCTGTGGGCGGAGCACAGCGCCCCGTGACTAGAACCGCCTATAGGGAAGGGTCCCGGGAAGGGCCGGAGTTGTCATTTTGAGAGGTTTTCCTCTCTTCCAAATATCGCTACTTTTGTAACTGCCCCTCACAGCGTTTGCTCCTGGTCTTGCCTCAACAGCATCCCGCCCCACCCAAACTCAAAAAAATATGGTTTATATCCAAAAAAAGTTTAAAGAATAGTACAATTAGGATTAGCATAGCCATCTTCATTAATTAACATGTAGCCGCGTTTCCTTTCCCTTGCTCTCCACATACACCGTCAGCCCCACACACTATTTTTGCTGAATTATTTAAAAGTAAGTTGCAGATACTTCACTCCAAATGTCTGTATCTCTAAGAATGTTTTTATACGTAATCACAATACATGATCAAACCTAGAAAATTAATAATTTCATAATATCTAATATACAGCTCATAAATTTCTCATTGTCCCAAAAATTCCTTTTATAGCTGTTTTATTTTTTCAATCCATGACTTATAATTGGTTATTATCTCTTTTAATCTAAAACAGTCTCTGCTACTCTCCTTTTAAAATTAAGTCATTGAATTTTGTCAAGAACCTCAGACAGTTGTCGTAGAATGTCCCTTTTTCGGGATTTGTCAGTTTTTTTTTTCCTTTATGATTAGATTAGTGTAAGCGGTCTTGCAGGATGTGTATCTCTTTATTACATCACAGAGCACACATATTTTAGATTCTGCTGTTATTAGTAATGTGCAATTTGATAACTTGATAAAGGTAGTGGCTGTATCATTCCATTTTAATAGTACATTTCCTCTTGGTAATTGGTAATCTCTGAGATGTTAGCATGAGGCCATGTGAATGCCCTGTTCCCCATCAGAGAATACTTCAATGAATTTGTACGATGTTAGGAACTATAAGTGATAATTCTTTAATTCTACCATGGCTTCTACTTATTAGCTAGCATTCATTCTTACATCTTCATTTTGTTGTTTCACTATGCAACCAAGGTGTTGATTTATTAAATTGTTTTTAATTCATTACTACTACTCTATTACCAGCTTAATTTTTGTTGATTCTCAAATTGTCACAAATTTGACCAGGGGAAGCCACTTTAAACCACTCCTTGTCTTTTCGACATGTCCCCATTGATCCTTGAATGCTTCCTTACTTTAACACAAGCTTACTTTGTACATTTCCTACCCAAGATCTGGAATCAGCCCTTTTAATTTCCCCACATAGTTTCAACTCCCAGAATCCAATCTCTCTTATGTTATTTTATTCAAGCCTGATGCCAAATCTTTGCTTCCCTTTGCACTTGTATCCACCAGATGAAGAAACAAACTGTGTAGGAAATTTTTGTGAACAGCGTTTCCAAAGGCAAATAGCACAGTTCTCTGACCTACAAAAAAAGGGTGATGAGTGTAAAAAGGCAGTACTAGAAAATATGGAAGTAGATCAATAGCCGTAAGCAGATGTGGGTTAAGGGATGAGTTCTTGAAGTTTATTCATACTCTGCCTACAGCATCTTTTTTTATTTGCATTCATAGAGCCCAGCAGCCTGGAAAATGTGAGGCTATTTGGATGTGAAATGATTTTCACTTGACAAATTTTATTTATTTCCCTTTTTGGTAGATGCACCATGTATGTGAACCAATTCAAAACTTAATGCAGGTCAAGTATGTCCTTTCTCCAGGACACAGCCCATCCTCATCTAAGAGCTTAATGACAACTTTAGCAGCAGCTTAGAGGAAGTGTACTGTTTCAACCTTAGGAACTACTTTATACTGATCTGTTTAATAATCATTCTTCTAGAGCAGTCTCCTGCCCCATTCTAGATTACGCCTCTGTAATGGGCTGAATTGTGTTGTCCCTCCCCTTCCCACCCCGCCAAAAAAAAAAAAAAAATCACGCTTAATCCCTAACCCCCAATGTGACTGTATTTGGAGATATGGCCTTAAAAAGGAGATAATTAAGGTTAAATATTATAAGGATGGGGCCCTAATGTGATAGGACTAGTGTCCTTATAAGACGAGGAAAAGACACCAGAGTTCCCTCCCTACCCAACACTGCCCACAAGACAAAGTTGTCACCAGCCATGGACGACACCTTGATCTTAGACTTCTAATCTCCAGAACTATGAGAAAATAAATTTGTTTAAGCCATGCATCTGAGCTATCTTATTATGGCGGCCTAAGCTAACACAGCCTCCTAGCTCTCCTATAAGGAACTTCCTTCATTTACCCCAATACAGCATTTATCACATATTATTTTTTTCTTCCTTTTGTATTACGAGGGCTATTTTTGTACCATGTGCTCCCTACCATGGAATACACAGCTTCTGGCACAATATGTGGCACACAGAACTCAATATTTAGTGAATGAAATTAATTACAAGTCCTCCAGATTGGGAGAGAAGCAAGGGGAAGAGTTAAGAAATGAATGCTGTTTTCACTCTAAGTACCAAAACCCCAATAATTTAAGTGTTATCTTAAATATGATCTTTTTTGTTGTATACAATTAGCATTTCATTTGCTTTCCCATTTTCTACCTGTACTATAAAATTCGATTGTATTAATATATTACTGGCATATGCAAGTTGTCCCACTGATTGCTTTATGTTCTGTTCCCATCTAGACTGCAAAAGCCTGAAGTCAGGGGGCCTCTAAATTCTATCTCCTCATAGCACCTAGCTCAATACTAGACACAAAACAGGTATTTAGTAAAGTGATGTTAACTTAATGACAAATGTCTCAATCTCAAGTTTCTCTTTGATCCAAAGAATAGGCTTATATTTCATTGTCCTTCAGCAGTGATGCAAGAACTCTTCAGGAACTATGTTCATCGATTCAAGGACAATTCTTTTAGGGGACAAAATAAAAAACCATGTATTTTAAGTATAGCCAAAATAGAATCTTAGCCACCTCATGTGTTTTAAATGATGACTTTTGCCCATGGTACTTGGCACTCACTGTCAGAATAAGCTAAAACTGGCTATTGACCTCTAGCCTGGCCTCTTTACACAGGCTTCTTTCCAAGGACTCTACCTGGTACACAACAGGCACGCAAGAAAATTTTTTTAACACTAACATCAAAGACCAAATTCTAACAAGAATTTAGAACTAAATATTTTGTAAATGATTTTTCTTAATATGTATTTCATAAACAGATGTTTTAGACATTTTACAATAATCAAAAAGCTGCTGCTAAATGCTCTTGTGTGTATAAACATATTAAATCAAAACACAAAAAATTTCAAAAGTCTAAAAGTTTATTGCCAGAATAGCAAACTTCATAGGCAGCTTTTTAAAGTACATTGAAAATGACAAGCAAAATAAACAGAAAACTTTGACCAAAGAAAAGCAAAGATTGCTATCATGCACAAACAGTCAAATTAATACCAAACCAAACAGGTACATAAGAGTATATGGGCCATACGATCCAATTCTAAAACTAAAAAAGACTCATTCCAAAATGCTTAAGTTTGGGTGGGTTTCTTCAGGGTAGGGAGGAGGATAATTTTCTCCTAATACAGAAAATGAAAATATTTAGGTAATAACCAAAATGATGACTAAAATATCAATGATCGATTTAATTTTCAACTCCAAGAGCAGAAATCTGTATTATAGGCCAAAAGAAGTTCAAGAATGGATCAAAAACCTAAACACAGAAGAAACAAATTCTAAATTCGATTTGTGCTATCCTTACAACTGATTACCACTTCATGTACACTACATCCAGTGTATTACATTAGTTAAGATGAGCTAAGAAGATAAAAAGCCAGAACAGCCTTTATTATTTGATTTCAAACATGCCTATATTTCCTTAAGCCATTAGAAAATTATATCACTATATGCTAAGCATTAGATTTTATTATTTAATAAAATGAAAATTCATATAAATGAAGTCAAGGCAGAGCAACCATTTCCAACCGACTACTAGTGCCCAATAGAGCTACTGCTAAAGGAGTAGGAGTAAGAGTAGGAAGAATTCCCTGTTGCATCAAAGCTTCCTCTTCGGGACCCACTTCGGGAACCAGAACGAGAGCCAGAGCGAGAGCCAGAGCGGGACCCAGAACGGGAGCCTGGAGCAGAAGACATGTTGTAAGGGCTTGGCAAACCCTTGGATGAAACAGAGGCAGCCTCCAGAAGGCGTAGACCACTGATATCTTCCACCATGGAGCGATTCATAGCATCTTTATAGGATATTTTTAATTTGGTTTTGGGGCAGGTCAGGATTTTGGCATAGCTGCTGGTGTCTTGCAGCCTCTGAGCTGCTCGGCCGTCGATAAACCCCTTTCTGATGGCTTCTTCCGTGCTTATCCTCCCATGCACTTCCGGGTCAACTAGGCCTCCAGTGAGGTACTGGAACTCCAGGAAGCGCTGACCCGCTTCATAGGGAAGCCATTTTTCTTTCACTGCCTCTGCCGCTGACATCTTCTTTCCCTTCACACCTTCAAAGCCAATGAAGGCTTTCTGAGCAGGCTTCAGCCTGGTGGCCATATCTTGATCAATCAGGCCCTGGGAGATTGCATCCTGAAGTGACAATTTCTGACCAGTGGTTGGATGGATGATGCCACCTGTGCAGGCCTGAGCCTCCAGAAGCCTCTGACCAGTGATGCTATCCACAATGCCCCGTTCTATGCCTTCTGCAATGGAGATTTTCTCCAGGTTTTCTGTGTCAAAGATGGCTGCAATAGGGCTCGATTCTTCCAGAGGTTCAGACAGAGAGCTGCTCTTAATGGTTAAATTCCTGACACTGGATATGGTAGAAATCTTACTTACCGACTCATGTCGGGAGTTGCTAAAAACATCATCACTGGCACTACCACCCACGCTACTGCTATTGCCGACACCATTTTTCAAGGAGATCATATCGGCAAACTGAGTGAGGCTGAGGCTGCCAGATCGGTACTGATCAAAGAACTTCCTATCAACGAGGCCCTTGTCAATAGCATCTTGAATATCGTACTGGCTACC